ATAGGGACGCGGTGACCCAGTGGCTAAGACACTGAGCTTGTCGATCCAAAAGCTCGGCGGTTCGGTGCCCCTGCAGTGCCCTCCGTGCAGGATTCTGCCTGCGCTGAGCGGGACTCGGGCATGAAGGCGAGTCCGGAGCCAGGGAAGCAGCAGCAGCAGCAGCAGCAGCAGCAGCAGGGCCAGGTGGCTGCGGCTGCGGCGGGGAAAGAGCCCGATCCGCGCTGGGCAAGGGACGGCGCCAGGAGCGAGGCGACGGAGGCGGAGCGGCTGCGCACCCGGGAGCGGCTGGAGGCCACACTCGCCGGGCTGGCCGAATTGGAATTCCTGCGCCAGCGCCAGGAGCTGCGCGTCAAGCGGTTACTGGCCGCCGCGCCCTCGGCTTCTCTGGCCGGGATCTGCTCCGGGGAAACGACCAGAGCCCCCGCAGGAGCCGGGATCCCGCCGCGCAGCTTAGAAGAGAAGTTCCTGGAGGAGAACATCCTGCTTCTGCGGAGACAGCTGGTGAGCCGGGCCAGCCAGCCAGCCAAGGCGGTGGGCGCGATGCAGGGGCGCAGCCAGACCAAACGGGGGAGGCGGGGAGGCTGTGGAGGCTCCTGGACCTCATCAGCTGCGGAAGGACGGTGGTGGTGGTGGGAGGGCGGGAACCCGGCTCTGGGTTTTCTTTTCTTTTTTAACCCAATTCCATACTGCTTGGAACACGTGTCTCTGAGCGTGTACAAAGTGCCTATGTAGGATGCATTCAGGAGGGAATTAATGACACCGTCTGCATGGAAATTCGGCCTCTTCTTCAGGGAATTTCTTATTTGTCTCAGGGGAAAAGGTTTCTTTTTAGCATTAGTTGCGCCAGGTGGTTTTACCGTGCAGATGAGCAACATGGCAGGGTCGGTAGGAAGAAGAGGCTTTGAAAAATGAGGGTCACTAGCATTGCGTGGGTGGAGGCGGAAGCTTTAAGATCTGCCGCGACCCTCCTAAGGTAAAGATACTCCAACAGTGGATCTTCCTCCCTGCCCTTCATGCCCGCGCAGTTTTGAGTTTGGGGGCTTGGCGAGGCAAGAAGGCTGCCGGGGGAAGTGCAGCCTCTTCGGTTGAATCCTCCTATGATGATGAGCCTTAGAAGCACCGGCTTCCTCATTCCCCCTTCTTTCCTTGAAGAAGAACCTGTGCAGAAATGAGGATGCCCGGGTGTCAGATGGGAGGAATGGCAGAGGCCAACTCGTTTGTGAAATGGATGAGTTTGCTTCTGCATGAGGTGCTAAAGGTACCTCCAGGGCCCCCTTAAGACTCAAAGTCTGTGACAGGCAGGCTGTGTGGGGAGGGAGGGTCTCCAATGCTCCAGTGGAGCATTAAGAGGTCAGAGAGCGACCCCTGAAGCCTCCACCCTTGGAAATATGGAAGCCGTCTCTTGTATATTTCGATGGGAGCCCAGAAGGGAAAAGCTGGGAACTTTTAAGCAGTATATTGAAGGGTTATTTCTCTGTGTTCCTCAAACATCACAGTTTTGGGGCTGGGTGTACATAGTATTAAGAAGAACCAAATTCTGTGTGGCCACCTTCCATTACTCTTAATGACGGTCTCTTCGGAGCAGGACAGCTGGCCTCCGCCTTCCAGCCTTTTGCATCAGTGCCGGCCCTTGGCCCATCCTTCTTTTGGCTAACAATAGCTGCCATACCTGTAGTATATGGTGATTAATGACTGCAGCTCCAAATGAGGGGCTTTTTGTCATCCCAACTGCACGGAATGGGACCGGAGGGAATAACCTCCTTGCCCCTCCCCTAAATCCAGCGCGCTTAGGCTTTGGTGCTGCAGCTAGCGCCGTTTTTTCCATTTGCTTACAGATGCGGGTGTGTGCATGCATAAAGGCTTAGGAGGAGCCTCGCAGGAGCCTGGTTGGGCATCAAGTTGCATATTAGATTGGCTGCTGAAGGGAATCAATTCACCTCCTGCAGATGCTGTTAATGTTGTTGATGTTGGCAGTCGACAAAAGCTGGGGCTGGACTGGGAAGAAAGCATTTATCTTATTGAGTTCCTGTCAGGGCTGCGGGAGCATATGTGGGATGCTTGCATTAATACTGTAGTGCAGCGGGAGGAAAGGACTTAAATGAATCCAGCCATCGGCTGAGTTTCATTGTTACTCTGCAAAAGGGGTGCAAATGTGCTTGAATTTAGTCACTGGAGATAATGGAGCCCGCCCCCCACTCCCACTGAAACACTATTGCTGCAAAAATCCTATAGAAATGAATAGGTGAGGCGCCAAAAGTCAATAGAGAGTGCTCTCTGCAGCATATTTAACACAGAGGCTGCAAAGAGCTCGAAAGAGGTGGGGGGGAGGGATTAAAACTAAGTGCTGCTTTGCTCAACTGGAATCTCATCCCGTTTCCCAGTTCCTAGAATGGACCTGTAGGAAAAGAGCAGGCTGAGCTGGAAGACGGGGTTAAACATGCCATCAGTTGGAGTCATTGTGGTGCCACAAGAGACCCAAGCCCAGCTCCCTATGAGTTCCATTGATCCTTATCTTGCACTGTTAGTTGACTAGTTTCTCGTATAGAAGTAGCAATAGTAAACTCTTCTGTGCTTTGAACTTCACGAATGCGCATGGTTATTTGTGCTGACCGGAAGATGTGAATGCAGTTTTCTAGAGAGGAAGTGAACCTTTTGGAGCATGAAGATCCCTGCTGGATGACCACCAGCAGTGAATCTAGAGATCTTGCCCTCCATCGTTTTAATAAAGGTTTGGACTTTGTCTCTTTACAGGAAGGCTGTTAATTTAGTCAAAATCAAAAGGAAGGATTGTTAGAACGACAGTCTTGGGGCTGCTGCTTAAGCAGCCAATAAAGAGTGGTTGTGCTTGTGGTTTGTGTGCCAGCAAAACTCGTGTCTGCAGAGTCAGTGAGTGAAGCAAAAACCAGAAAATAGAGGACATGTTGCAGATGATACAAAGCTGACTTTGAACCTGATATTAAGGGTTGAGAGAATATGCAAAATTTAACACTTCCAAGAAACTTCAGTGAAAAGGAGAAAAGACAGAATGTGGAAGCTTGATGCAAGGCCCAAAGTGTGTGATTTGTGAAATTCAGACTTCACTATTCACCCTTTTTTTGGTCTTTTCTTGGTCCTCATTTCTCTCCCTGGAAGAAGCCAGTGGCAATTCCCTTGAGTCTTCTTATCAAGGAGACACTGGATGTGTCCATGGTGTCACCACAGGAATCAAGCTCAATGGGAAGGAAATTTTTATCCCCCTGAAGCACAATTGCCAATTTGCAATCCTACAGACATCATCATTTGCATATCAGTCCTTTTTAGAGATAAGAAGAGCCTAATTTTACGCTTTAGGATTTTGGTGGATTTGGTGCCAGTCAACTCCATTGCTTTTCCCTTCCCATACAAAAGTCACAGATCTGTTCTTGGGGCATTGGGGACTTCGGAAATATTCCATCTTTTCTTACAACCGTTACCAGTTGGTATCCAAGGAATAGAATTAGAATTCAGAAACCAGATGAGGCTAGGACAAAAAACGATGCTTGATTTGTGTGTCAAAGAGAGCAGGCATGAATGTGATTCAACTTATGTTTTACTGTCTGAGCCAGGAGGGGGAATACAAAAAGATCATTTGCATGTTAATCATTCCAGCCATTCTCACCTATTAATATCCTCAGGAAAGAGATCAAAACAGGGAAGTAATTTGTTATATTAGAGGGTATTGGCTTGGAAATAGGAAGATAATTCTTCCCCCCCCTTCTTGCTTTGAGACCAATAGCTGTGGGATTTGCATATAAAGCTGGACCGTAGCTGATTCAATATTGCAAGTCAAAGACTATGATTTGTAAATGACAGTATCAGTGGCAAACATGTTGCTTAATTAAAAATTGAAGTGAATCCAGCTATAATACAAGTTGTTTCTTTGTTTTAAGGAATGCAAAAGCTTTTTTTTTTCATTCCATGGTCCATATTTAGTCTCTAGATAGCATGTTGAAGACCTATGACGAACTGAATGTGGGATTTGATTTAATAGCAATGTAATTAATATTAAATATTGAAAAAGTGATTACAGTTAATGAATGCACATGGTTACTATCAATTCACATTTGCAATGGAGCCTCTACTTCAAGGACAGTGTAGCAAACTGGAAAATGTCCAGAGGAAGTGACCAAAGGTGAGGCGTGCCTAGGAGAAGGGCTTTTTTCAGGAGCTGAGTATATTAAGCCAGGAAATCTGATTATTTGGAAATCTGTTAGTATACCAATGAAACAAAACTAGTGCACAGAAGATAGGAAACCAATTAGTGCTTCCAAGCAAAATATCATTAAAGAAACATAATAGTTGTAGTTGTTCAGCAGAGGAACAGATTTGCTCAGAAAAGTAGCAAATTCCCTTTCCACAAATTTTCATTCAAAGTTTGAGTAGTCATCTATCAAGAAGGCAGCCATAACAAAAGACTTTCGGAAAATCTCTACTATGCAATCTAGTTTGCTGCCAAGCCCTGCCTTACTTTAATAATTGCTTACTGAATTAACTGTAACTGAGTTCTGGCCAGATACAATTCAGAGTGCTAGTTTTGACCCAGAAGTTCCTACATAATTTGGCCCCAAAGTATCTTAAATAACATTTATTTCAACCAATGCTGAGGCCTGATTGAGAACATGCCTGGAGACTGAAACCAGACTATATTACTTAACTAATGAGTTTGTTGGTATTGTGTATTATTTAGCTTAGTTTTATTTTGATCGTTCCAATTTTGTATTCGTTTTATTGGGTTTATCGTGTGAAAGCTTTGTAACTCAATAGCAATTCAATAGTAAGGTAAAGGTAAAGATTCCCCTCGGACATATGTCCTAGTTGTTCCCGACTTTAGGGGGCGGTGCTCATCTCCATTTCAAAGCTGAAGAGCCAGTGTTGTTTGAAGATGTCTCTGTGGTCATGTGGCTGGCATGACTAAACGCCAAAGGCGCACGGAACACTGTAAAATAGCTTTAGACTTTAGTTCTTAATGAGACTGCCTCAGTATAACAAGATAATAGAGTTGGAAGGGACCTTGGAGGTCTTCTAATTCAAGCGGGAGACCCTATACCATTCCAAACAAATGGTTGTCCAGTTTCTTCTTAAAAACCTCCAGTGATGGGGTACTCACATATTCTGAAGGGAAGCCATTCCACTGATTAATTGTTCTAACTGTCAGGAAAGTTCTCCTTATTTCTAGGTTAGTTCTCTCCTTGATTAGTTTCCCCCCCATTACTTCTTGTTCTGCCTTCAGGTGCTTTGGAGAATAGGTTGGCCTCTTCTTCTTTGTGACAGACCCTCAGCTATTAAAATATTGCTATCATGTCACTCCTAGTCCTTCTTTTAATTAAACTAGATGTAGACCAATTCCTGCAAGCGTTCTTCATATGTTTTAATCTCCAATTTCTAACCATCTTTGTTGCCCTTCTCTGCACTCTTTCTAAAGTTTCAATCTGTGTAATATAAAGATCAGTCATTATCATCAAGGCTGACATTCCAAATCAGAT